GCCCCGGGGAGGCGGCCCCCACGCCCGCCCCCGGCGCCAGGCCTAATTCTGATCTGGGGTGGGGGTCAGCCAGCAGGACGCCGACAACAGCACCTCCTGGGCCAAGTCTGCTGGGGGCCCCCTCTGCCTACTGTGGTCCCACATGCCCGCCCCGCAGGCCTGGTGAGCACGCGGCCCCATGTCCCCCACCCAGAGCTCCTCCCCAGACTCCCCTCCCGTCCCCTGGGGCTCCCCGGGTCAGTGGCTGGAATCGGACAGTGGGGCCAGGGGCCTGGGGAGTGAAACCGAGTCAGGGCTACTTCACCAGGCAGGGGGTGTGTGTGGGGTGGGGGGTGCCCCCAGTTGCCGGCCCCCAGCCCCTAACCCGGCTGTGTCTCTGCAGGGTGCCCTTGGGTCAGGCCTGGTCTCCCTGGCTGCCTCCAGGATTGAGGTCTGGGCTTGTGGCTTCAGAGCCAGCCGGCCATGCTGGGACCCAGATGAGGTCCTGAGGAGGAAGCCCCGCCTTTGTGGACCAGGGGGACAGCTGGAAGTGGGGGCCGCACTCACATCAATAAAGGAGGAACCCAGACCTTGCCGGCTGAGCCTGCTGTGTGCGCTGTGTGGGGCGTGGGAGGGGGCAGAGGTGTCAGGAGGGAGGCTGCGCCCCACCACCTTCTAAACGAGGCGGGGTGCGGCCACCTCACCTTCCCCTTCCCTCATCCCCGTGCATCGCCCACCGCCTGTCTCATGGACTGAGCTCCCCCAGGCTCTGCCCGCACCCCCTGTCCTCACTCAGCAAACACTCAGGGAATCTGAGGGGGGCTCAGGATGTTCCCCAGCTCCTGACCCAGGGGCCATGTGGTCAGTGTGGGAAGCGGTGGGGGGAAGTTGGGAGCGAAGAGGCTCAGGCTGGGCGGGAAGAGATGACAGGCCGGGGATGGCACCAAGAGGCTGGGTGTTTGGCTCTCTGTCCAGGCTTGTGGCCTCGGACAAGTGGCTTGATCACTGAGCCTGCGGTTCGGGAAACCAATTAGGCATAGGGCACAGGCAGAACTGTTGTCACCGGCAGGGAGAGCAGGTGCTTTGGGATGGGTCCAGGTCTGAGGTAGTGGTTGAGGGGTTGAGGGGGCCTGAAGTTAGGAAGGGGCCCCTTCCCCCTTCGCCGCCCTCCTGGCCCTGCCCAGGACCTCTCCCCAGCAGCCGGGGTTGGGGGCCAAGGAAACACAAGGGTGGGCCGCCTCTCCAGGATGACCCCGCTGTGGTCACTGGAGCTCCTGGGGCCCTAGGCCCCCTGAACCTCTGCCATCTCCATCCCTGTGGCCCAGCCCCACCCAGAGGGCGTGGCTTGTTTCTGGGACAGGCAGGCACGTGCCCAGGACCCAGGCTTCTCCCTCCAGCAGGGCTGGTGTCGGGACAGGAGCTAGGCCTGGGTCCTGGGACCCTGCCCCAGGTGGTGCTAGCCCAGGAGCCCCGCAGGGGGGCAGTCGGG